CAATATCAGATTGATTCCAGTTCTTATATAGAAATATTTCACTTTGACTTTAAAAAGACAGAGATCATACAGAAAAATTGGTAACATAAATATTTACACCTTTTTTTCTAGTTTATCCAAAAAAAGAAGCCTTAGGGTATTATAAGGATGAGAAAATTAAATTCCCTTTGTAAAGGCTAATTTAATTTAATTTTTATTTTTTCAGAACATCAATAAAAGGTCTTTCACATCAGTCACTAGCTCCCACTTACACAAGGAAAGCATTGTTCTAATGCATTTAGGTTTTGCATTTTGACATTCTCTTTTGACAGGTTTGGAGTGAAGGGGAAACTCAGGATGGCAGTGTGTACCACTTGTGTCAGAAAAAGATAAAATGTGAAGGTTTGGCTTCCAAGGATGGAAGCGGGCATTAAAACTAAACAATATTTCCTGGTGTGTCTAATCCAAACCTATTGAAACAAGTATCTTGTAGAGTATTGATATTCAAATAGTCCTGGAGGCTTGTGTGCACTGGGTTATTTCATAGTATCATGCACATAATTAGGTGACCCTTGAGGGAAGAAATCAGTGCTTATGTAATTCAATTGAGGTCAAAAGCAGTTTCCAAACTGGGTTGGCCCCCCAGGGTATGGAAGCAGGAGATAATTTCTAAGGCACAGGGGAAAATTCCAGCTGGCTTCTGTCCATCTCCCTCCACTTTTCTTCTCTTTTCCCCATGCCTGAAGCACTACCCCAGCACTTGCAGCACTGTTGGCTCTGGAAGCTTTGTGGAAAAGGCAGTCTGTGATTCCAGATACCAGAATCAGTGAGTGTGGGAGTCAGCCGTTCCACAGCCTGGGGAAAAAAACCCAAACCCAAATAGCAAACAAAACCCAAATCCAATAAAAGGGAATCCTGCATATAAAATTTGTGAACTGCTGTCCTGAACAAATGCTCCAGAAGCCACTGGAGGGGCAGTGACCTGCTGGGGCCAGCGGATCCTGCCACCAAGAGGACCTCAGAGCAGGAGAGTAACCGTGACTGCCCCAGGGTACCCTGCCCTTCCTCCTTCACCACGTGCCCAAGGCCTCAGGAGTGTCCTCAAAAAACCCTGCTGCTATGTAGAGGCTTTAAAAATTTTTGTGTGAAAGTTTAAAAGCTCACAAAGAGCCTTTGGAGCCACAGGCCAAGAGCATGAGTAGATTATCAATAACGTGTTTTTGTTTCTGTCTTGAATGAATTCTCTTCTCTCCAGCTTTCAGGCATCCAAATAACTGTAACAGAAGTTACTTGGACTGAAAAAGGACAAAATTGTGTCTGCAAAATCATGAAGAAAAAACCTAATTACTGGAGTCAACAAAAATTCCCCCCAGAAATGTGGTGAACCATTTATAGAAAGTGGATATGGACATCACTGGCTAAGTTCTCCTATTAAAAATTTAAAATAAAGCTGCAAAGAAAAGATTTTTCTCAGACTTTCTTTTAAACATCCAGTTCTGAAGGAGTTGGAAATAAAGTTACTTTTCAACTCTGTATCATGAAAAGAAACATAAGAGAGATTTTCTGGCTTCCTGTTTGCTCTCCGGTTTGTTTACTCTGTCAATAATACAATGGCAAAGCACTGGAGTGGACAAGCAACAGGAAGAGTCCCACTTTCCCTTCTGTCATGGATAGGGATGATGAGGGTTGCTGCCTGGACAGTACTGAGCTGTGTAAATCCATCACTGAACTCTCTCTGGTGAGGCTGGAGATTGACAATTACCAGAGATCTTTTTCTGAGGAAAAAAAAAAGCAGTTTTGTAAGCGTAAATCCATCTGGCCCATTTTAGAGGTGTATTTATAAAGAACCCATGATTTCAGTGCTTAATTCTGAAAGCAACTCCTTTAAATGTAGATGGGAGTATCATAAAAGCTAAAGCTTAGAGAAGATATTCTTAGTCTGTGTGTGTTTTCTTGTCGGTTTTCCCCCTTGTGTCTCCTCTTCTCCTTTTCTCTCTACAAGTTACCTGTTCATTTAACTTTGTTTTAAGAGAAATTTTATTTAAATGGGTTTGGTGTCTTAAATAAAAACCACCAAATGGCTTTTTTCTTCTTATTATTGTATTTTTTACTTTAAGATCTCATTATTTTAGTGCTTGAAAATCTATCGAAAATCTTGAAAATCTTCACTTATATATACAAAAAGGTTCTTGCTAACTTTATACTTGTGAACATTTGGGACTGTTCAGATTAGGCAAAAAATTAATTTGATAATTTGTCACCTCTTCTTATCACCATATTCAGAAAAAAAAAAAGGCAAACAAAGAAAAGAAATGCCCAAAAATATCATGTGATAAGTGAGTTAAAGCACAGCTTGAGGAAATAATTTTTGGGGAAAGAATGCCCAAATAACAAACAAAGCTCAAATCCAGTAAAAGGGAATCCTGCATATGAAGTTTCTTAACTGCTGTCCTGAATGAATGCTCCAGAAGCCACTGGGGGGGCAGTGACCTGCTGGGGCTAAATGGCTAACAGCAATTTTTAAAATTCCTTAAATTTATGCCATAGGATTGTTCTTTTGTCTTATTTACTACTTATCTGGTCCCTCAAGTAAGAGACATGGGGAAAACTGTTTTACTTCTAACACGTGAGCATTTTTTACCCTCTGCAGTATGTGCATGCTCCAGAGGGCTCTGCTGCCTGCTACTTTTTCTGTGCTTGAGATGTTTGACATCTACTGTATCCTTCATGCTCTAGCTGCAACCAGCAAACTCAGCCCCTCTTTCTTCTTCTTCTCCTTCTTCTCCTTCTTCTCCTTCTTCTCCTCCTCCTTCTTCATTCCCACATGGGGACCTTTTAATTTTCTTTATTTCTGTACTGTGAGCCCATTGTTTTCTTACCTCATACTGTTTGTGTTGCTCTGCCTTCTGTACCTGCCTCTTTGAGATTTGTTTTGTCCGAACAGCCTTGGTTTGTGACACAAAGCATGAGATGAGTCAGACTGAAAGTGCAGTTAGTATTTAGAATTGAAATAAGGAAGTCTTTATCACTAATGGGATCTGGAATTATAGGGGGTTTTTTTATAATACTTGTAGGTTTTTTTGATAATACTTTGAGTTTTTGAAAGAAAATTCTGTTGGGGAGCTCAGCTGACAACAATCCACCCAAAGTTTTTCAGTACCTTCTATCTGACAGTTTAGAAATATCCACTTCAAACAATGAATTTAAACATTCTGAAATATTTCCAAAATGCTTCTCTTATGGAGCAGGAAGACTTAGCTGCATCTGCTAAAGGATCTGCTGTTGCGATGGAAACTTGGATGTGCCTCAGACAGAATTCTGTCGCTGGCAATTGACATTGTCACTGTTGCAGAACAGAGTTCTTTAGTGGATCAAAACATTTAATCATAATTTTTTGCAAAATTCACTCCAAATACTGAAGGATGCCTATGCAAAAATTTTACTAACCTTGCTTCTTCAGAGACTGGGAAGAGGGTAAAGTGTCCTCCTTTTTTTTTCCCCCCTGCCATGTCCTCCTAGAAATATTTAAATAATGAGATTCAATAATAGGAACTAAATATGATGCTTAAACATACAAGAAGGAATTAAAGAGAATATTTAAATGTGAAAATTGTATAACCAAACAGCTCCCTATATACTGCTCCTTGTCATCCAATAACAGGACACTCTCATTTAGTTAGTTTACTCTTAAACCTCAGAGCTTGATGAATTGTTCAGAACCTGTTTCTAAGGGATGAGTATTTCAAGAACAAAGAAAGAGCATTCTACCAATTTGGAAAAACAGAATTAAGTGACTTTTTATGATATTTCCAAGACACATGATAAAAAACCGAATAAATAAAATATCCAAGTAACACTTTAATGGAGAAATTACATAATTTACATAATTAATGAACAAATATTCTTTAAAAAGTGAGTGATTTTCAATTGCATGTACAGGTAAGAATGGGAATTGGCTCTTTACCAGCTTAAATGCAGCAAAAGTGATCCATATTCAGTGTATCCTATCTTTGACTTGCATAAGATATTTGGTTTTTTTTTTTTTTTTACTTTATTTGTTTTATACAGATTTTCAAACATGGTAACAAATTATACTTACTTCTTCATTATGAGGAAATAATTTTATGTTTGCTTTCCATACAAGTCCATGAATTAGATCAACAGCTAAGGGTCATTCTATTCAAAAATTTACATTTCTAAGACTATTCTCTAATTTGATAGCTACTTACAAGGTTTTATTATCCGTAGAAAATTGGACTCCAGAATTTTTTTAATTAAGTTTTCTTATTCTTTATCCCAAAGTCTTTCTTTCCCCTCTTATTGATGAGAAAAAGCAAACAGATATCAAGAAATTGATCTTTGAGAGATTCTACCATGTCTGATACACACAAGTCCATTACAAATAAGCAATCAGCTCATAGAGGATGAGAATGGTGATAAGGAGGTGAATGTTTCCTCAGCGCTCTCTGCAGGATCTTCTGTCAGCAGGCCAGGGGTAAAATGCATTTACAGAACAGTAGGAGAGAAATCTTACACCATCACAGTGTGCTCCTGGCGAGTATTCAACTTTACTCACTCATTTGCTCCCCACCTGGAAACTCAAATGAAAAAAAAAAAATCATTTCAAGCAATTTTGTATTTTTGCCTGATTGAATCACATAGTGGAATGTGGGAAGGCAGAAGAAGTTCCCTAGTCTCTGCCTGCCTTGCTTATCAATGCCCAGAAGAAGATGTAGCAAGAAGTTTCAGGAGAAAAAACAAGCTCATGAAGTCTGTAGGTAATGCAGAATGTTTTGTCCTGGGAGTATGGGCGTTGAAGGCTAGGGTCAACAAACAGGCAGTGCCTTAGATTGAAACATCCTTCATTCTAAATTAATCACAAGATTTGTTTTAATTACCGTCTGTAAAATGCTGCCACTTCCATTTTAAGGCATACTCAGCAGTGATGAATATGTGGCTCTTGATATGTTGCTCCAGTTCCAATTTATTAGACTTTTCTTTCTATTTTTATTGCATTACAGAAACTCAACTTACTGTATGAAAGTGTCCATTTCTCTGACGGTGGGTGAAAATGACACTGGACTCTGCTACAATTCAAAGATGAAATATTTTGAAAAAGCTGAACTTAGCAAAAGCAAGGAAATCTCATGTCCTGAAATTGAGGATTTTTTGTTTCCGTTTAGGGAGCCTGAAATTCTGTGGTATAAGGTAAGGAATGCAAGGGATTTATACCTTCAAATGTACATTATGCAATGTTCTTATGATTCTCTTCATTTAAATGTGTTATGAAGCTTGGTTTTTTTTTTAATTTTGTCAAGAAAAGACAATAGAAACAATGGCAGACAAGAATTAACTAATTGAGAAATTCAAATGTTTCCTTTAGTAAACTGTATGAGAAGTCTATGTATGCTTTACCTTAATAAACAGCTTAATTTTGCAGCATAAAATTCAGCAAATACTACCAAAAGTTCCATTTCTACATATATATTAAAGTTATATTTGCAAATATAATTTCACTGCTTTTATCAATAACATTATTTCAATATTGTGTTATATTTTCTAGATCATTACTTAAGGGCCAAGTTCTTGCAAATAGTGTTGTTGAATTAATTATGGTATACAAGACTGTGCTACCTAAAAATTAAAATTTTGTGGCCTGGAAATATAATGTCCAAATTAACAGATAGAATATCTAAGACAGAAGAAGTGTAGACAACTATTTTCATTTTCTCATCTTGGATTTTGTGTATTTAATAAAATACGTTTTAAGATTAAGAATATGTCTTTTCTAGGTACAGAGATTGTTTTCAAAAGAGATATATAGCATCCTTATTTTTTCTCATTCTCACCTTCTGTTTCTCTACATTTTTTAATTATAATATTTTTTAAAAATTGAATTTTAAAAAAAATTATTCCCTGCAACCTGAGCTGCTGGTAATATAAAAGTCATAGATTGCAGACATATGTGTCTAATGCTAAATAAGTAAATTAAATACAAGCAACTCAGTAAACCAATGTCAAAAAAAAACTACCAAAGGAATCAACTCCCTTTTCTAGTCAGAGGCATAAATATCAAATTAGGTGATACAATTAGTTTTAACCAACATCTAAATAGGTTGGATTTTTACAAATTTAGTTTCTATACATTTATATCTAGCCTGGTCTCTTGCCTAGACACCTTTACTTTGGGCAGCATTGTCCACAGTGGTCCATTTTAAGTGTAAGAACACAATCCCTTAAGTTTTGTATTCTCTTTAAACAGGAATGCAAGTCAAAGACATGGAGATCAAGTATTGTGTTTAAAAAGGACACTCTTGTCATTCGGGAAGTTAGAGAGGATGACATTGGAAATTACACATGTGAGCTAAAATATGGATTCTTTGTTGTCAGAAGAACTACGGAGTTGACAGTTACAGGTAATTACAGTCTCTTTCTATCTCTTATATTTAGGAAAAAAACCCCCACTGAACATTTTAGTTCAAGTTGTGTGACTTTGAGTGATACCATTTGCACACATCTTTGCTGTGTACCTAGGTATGAATGGTTGATTCATTAAAACTGTCCTGAATACTTCACAGTGGTATCTGTAATACCTTGGCAAGTCTTTGACAAGAGTTTTGTTCTGTTCCAAAAGCCTGTGGGCAGACTTTTTTTTTTTTTTTTAAGTGGAAAAAGTGGTCCAGGTGAAGGAGCAGGTAAATTCAGAAAGCATATCCTCTTACAGAAAAAAAAAATGCCTATCATATTTTGTCATGATTAAATTACTTGGGACATAAAAATACCTGTAGCAATAGCTCCTTGGTACAAGCTCTAATTGTCTTTGGACATGAGAACAGCTGTGGCCACAACCCAAGAGTAGTAGCTCTGTCCCAGTGAGTACATTTCAAGTCTTGAGCACTGCATGATGAGGGACAGGTGCATTTTTCCTTTGTTATTCTCTCCCCACTTTCTCTAGCTTATAGTTCAAGAACTTCCTGATCTCAATCATCATGCACTGTGATTACAAATTTATCTATTTTTCATTAGTCTGATTATTTTTTTAATCCATTTAGTCTTGGCTTCAAAAACATTTTGAAGTATTAAGTTCCACATAGTAATTATGTGACAAGAATAAACTCTATAATTCAGCAAACAGCAATTGCATAAGATGTATTTAATATAACCTGCTTTTAAAACTACCACATCAATATTTAAAATCCATTAAGAATGAAAACAAAATATATATTGTAATAGTAGCATCCACAGCAGCAGTAAAATGTGAGGAATGGTCTACTGAATTTTCAACTCCTCACCAGACCTCTAACCTCCATTTTACAATTATGTAAAACACATAGCTGAACATACATGTAAGGTAAAAAATGGGCTTTTACAATTATAGGATTACAATGGTAGGCAGGGTACATCATGATCTACATAATGCTGTGTAATTACACAATATATTTCCTAAAAGAAGGCAGAATGAGGATTTTTCTGGCAAATTAGAAGTGAACTAGATCCATATGGTTGACAAATAATCTTGTATGTATAAGTTCTTGCACCTTCAAAATATCTAGTAAACCAAGAAAAATCTTCCATAATAATTATGTGGGTTGTTCTTGATCCTTTTTTTTTGTATCCAATATATAAATCTGAGGCACAGCAGCAACTAGTAACACACTTATGTTAAGCATTAGGTTGAATTGCAACAGTTTTCTTTAATGGTGAAAAGTTTCTTTTCTCATTCACTGTATCCCATTTTCCCTCTGCATTAACAGAAATTATGGTGAATTAGGGAATGCAATTTTCTACTGTTGGATGTGCCTGGAAATCATATTGTTCATGTTGTTTTGGGAGATTCAAGTAATCAATCATATTTATTTAAACTCAATAACCAGGATCTCTTTGTTGTTGTACAACAAATTGATTTATTTGGTCAGTACAGATAGGCAATTACTGTCAAGTGATTAACCTCACAATAAACATCCATATTCTCGGTTTGATTGACTCTGATATAAAGAAAGTAGAGTAAGATTCTTCAAGGGTATGATTTATACCAGAATAATGTCAATTATCTTTTGAAACATTTGATACCTGGATTTCAAAAATGTGTATTTACTGCATCTTTAAGTGATCCCTTCTGTCCTTTTGATTGGTGCTCCACTGCACAGCAGTACTTCAACAAGCTCAGACTGACAGAAAAGAAAAAGAAGAAAAGCATTGGAACCAGATTCATGCTACTATTTGTAGGAATAGTTTTAAAAAAATGTAATTCATCACTTGTAGTGTAGGTAGGAGTTCAGTATTTAATGTTTAACTAGACAAAGACAGAAAAAGACTTGGCTGATTTTGATGTGCTAAAAATGAATGAATTCACAGGGAGGGAACTATTCAATTTCCACCTCTGCAAATCCCAGCAGATTTAAGGACAACCTCCAAATTAGTAAATTCCTTTAGTAGTGCAGTGGGTCTTCATGTAATCTTTATAATATTATGTGAATAAACAGAATAAGCAGATAGATTACTCATAATACCAATTTTTTTACACCTATTCCTCACCACCTCTTCTTTCCTGGCAACTGTGGACAGTCACCACTCAAGGATTCCCTTCCTTTACCTACACGATGAATTTTTCATAATTGTTGTCTCATTTAGGGAAACCTGATGGTCTTACAGACCATTAACTATGGATGCAATTATAAACATGTTCTTTTCAGTATTGGTGTGGTATATTCCTTTTATAACCTTCGTGCTTCACACCTTAAATAACTGTGTGCTTCATAGTGAAACATGGAATGGCTGGTATTCTGATTTATCACTAAAGTTGAAAAATAATAAGGGAATCCACACATTTAGAAAAAAGATCAAACTCACTTAATAGGCAGTATCTATCTCATCCAAGTACAGCAGTTAAAAACCCCTAAGCCATGGAAAAATATAATTTCCTTTCTGTTTAAAAAATGAGAAAAAAAATTCCCCCTTCTTAGCTTAAATTATAAGCACTCAATGTCACCTTGGGTACACCTTTAAAGTACACCTTTAGAGTAATAACTATTTCATGGCTTACTTTTTTGTTTGTTGTTTTGGGGTTTTTATGGGTTTTTTTTTTCTTTGATCTTAATGGAAACTTTTTGAAACTTTTGAAGATCTGTATCTCACACTGAAGAAATATAAGTGATTTGAATCAATTTCTTTGTTGTTCTGAGATGGCACCTAGAAATTCCCTGTTTTGCAAAACAAAAACTATATTCTGATTATTTTAGCTTGTAAGTAATAAAAATATTCACATAAAAAACATAATTGGTAGATTTTTTGGGTTGTGGTTATGCAATTATACATTCTACAATGTCCTGCAATGTACAAAGTCATTTGTAGGCTTTTATAGTTCAGATTAGCAGGTTTTCTTTTAGGTGTGGAATTTTAATTAAGGCATTCCTGCTGTCTCTGACATAATTAATTAAGAATGTTTTTTAGTCTTGGGAAAGAATCCTATTAGAAAAGTACAGTGTTAATTTAGTCATAGTGCACAACATGGGTCAAAAATTCTTTCCTTCAGTGTTTTATTTTATTTAAATATTAAGTTTAACAATTTTTTAATTTTTTTTTTTTTTATTTATAGTACTAAGACATTTGCAAACCCTTTCTGCTTTTGAAGGGTTTTCTTCAGGTCTAATGAAGTCCAGCCTGTGTCAGAGAGAATATACCCATCCCCACTGCAATAACATATACAGTGAACATCTTGAACATCATAAAGCAAACAAACCCCATCAGCCTTGCAGATGGAACTTTACTTATTCTGTTTAAGTTTTAAATATTAGAATAATTTTTCCATTCTGTCAGAAGCAAGAAAATGTTATTCCTTGCAGATGGAATCAGAGCTAATCAGTAGGTTTTTAATCCTGAAGCCTTTCCTCAGAGATTCCCTTTGTTTTCTTTATTCAATGATTAGACCCTGAGAAGTTCCCTTAGAAACAGCTCCAGCTGGAATGAGCACAGTTTTAGATTTACAGATGTTTACAATCAAGCTATAGGAATAATAAATTGTCAGAGTAATTTTCTTTATTATTTAAATTCAGCCTGCTTGGTTTAACAAATTACTCTTTTCTGTCTTCAACCCATTACTTTTTTCATCTTTAGGTTTTTTTAGATAATAAAAAAAGGAATGCATTTTTTCTCTATTATGCTGTAGTCAACTCTTAGTGCTGTTTAAAGTTTGGTTATATCGAATAAGCTTTATCTCTTTTGCTTTCTGACAGATTTAGTCCTCATTAACATAACGGGAAATCTTAAATGACCACATGTATGTATGTATTTTTAGAGCTGAAAAGATTTTATATACAGCTAGCCACCATATATTGTGAACAAAAAACAAAAAAAATCCTGAAAGAGGACACACATGCACACATACTTTGAAGGTTATAGCCTGCTTTAAGTGGTCTGTATTTTAACTGTGTAAGATGAAATGTTCTCCATTTTTTCCCCAAAAAAGTTGGCTTCAATTTCTTCCAGGTGTGTGGCTCTTTCACATTCCATACATCAGAATGCAGAGAGGTGCTGCCACAAGTATGTTCCTCTTTATTTTTAGCAGCTGCTAGGTGAGAAAAGTATTAAAGAAGAAAGAGAGTTGTTTTCCAAGCATTTAGAGATTTAGCACAGACTCTGCTTGGTTTCTGAAGTCAATGACTGGTATGAACCATATTGAATGCACCCAGTGACTACTTGATTCAGCTGATCCTAATAATTATCAGAGCTGACGTTCATTCTTTTGTTCATCATTAACTTAATTCAATTCCAGAACATACTCAGATAGAAGTTCTATTTACCATTATTCTGTGCAAAGACTAATAAAATATAAAGCAAACAATAGACTCATTATGAAAGCAGCATGTTCAAAATACTAACCTAGCATTTTAAAATGCATAAAATCCTGTAAGTTTAACACAATTATGGCTGAAGAGTGGGATGATTTTTTGTTTTGTAAATTAGAAATGAATGATTTTCTTTTATAGTGCAATCATTTTAATGCACCTGAAAACAAGGGTCTAAATTAATTTCCTGTGTGTATTTGAGTAATAATAATCAAAACATTATGTGGATGTTTGATAAAATGTTCTCTATAAATGCTTATTTAACATATTTATTGTAAATGGGTTTAGAGGGTCATTCAAAACCAGCCTTATATGAAGACAGCAATGAGCAATACTTTATGTATTTTACTTCAAAGGAAGTGAAGATGATGTAATGTACTCTATAAATTGAAATTGATGAATTAGAAAACCAGCTTCAGCATTTTGACAAAGAGATGCAAAAAATTAAAGGTAGAAAAAATTCCAGACCTTCAACCTTGCTGCTGGTGACCTTTTGACATTCTTCCTTTGTCATATGCTGCTCACAAAGACCAGTTTTAATTATTAGAGATGGTTTTTATCATAGTTAGGGT